CTCCCGCATGAGCCCTTGATAGTTTATAAATGGGTATTTTGTCTAGTCTATGTTTTTCCTTGACTTTTTTCCCTTAAAAGTTTTTACATGCTTCCCTTAAAAATGTACTCGTTAATTTTTTCTGTACTACATATATATAGAAATAGGACTGTGGATCTTCAAATGATTGGAATCATGTCGTATGTCTTCCTTGTCTTTTAAAAATAATGTTGTATTTTACTGTATGAGAAGAAAACAGACGCGGAAACCCCCCTCAAAGCTGTATCCATCAATGTCATGGTGCCTCCATGTGGTCCAGAGTAGAACTGCTCTCTTAAGACGGCAGATGGGCCGGGTGTTCTCAGGATGCTGGCTGGGCAGGTTTGCGTGGATACTTTTTGGTTAGCAGCTGGTCACAAACTGCTTGTGCCACACAAGGGCTTCTTCTGTATAACAATACAATCATTTAAATATCCAATCTACTTTTGATAGATAAGGGTTGTTTCTAGTGCCTTAACCAAAGAACAAAACGATTAGCAACAAGGCTGCCATCACACTGGTGCATGGAAACAAGGGTTTCTCTAGGGACCCAAACTTACCACCATCAAGTCGGTTCCATATCCCGATGAATGACTCCACGGGCATCATCCACCTTACTAACTAATGCTGAAATGGTCAGTGAGGGAAATCCCCAGGAACTCTGGGAGTTCGCATTAAGCTGTGTCTTTACCCATTTAAGTATCTCATTGTGGTTTTAGTTTGCATTTCCCAGATTATCATTGAAGTTGAACATCTTTTCAAAAGTGATTTGGTTACTCGAGTTTCTTTTCCTATGAAATGTTATTCGGATGTTTGCCCATTTTTCTATTGGGATGTTTGTCTTTTACTGGTTCCTGAGGTGATATATTCTGGTTACTGATCCTTAGTTGATTATTGGTGTTACACGTATGTTCCCTCAATTTGTGACTGTTTCATTTTTCTTCTTCGGTCAATTAAGGTGATTTTGGTGTACAGTGTATAATTTTAATGTCATCAAGTTTATCTATCTTTTCTTTCATGGTTACTTCTAGAATGGCTTGTTTTAAAAACATCCTTCCCTACACTGAGGATGTTTTCAAGAATCCCAAATGATCCATAGGTTAAAAAAAAACAACTTATTGGAAATGTGAAAATATTGTTAATTAAGTGATAATGAAAAATTGCATCTCAAAAACTTGCAGTGCAGACTGCAGAGGGAAACGTATGGCCACTGGAAGGTTGGTGATGTGGGTTCACCAGGAGTGCCTCGCAAGAAAAACCTGGAAATCTCCTAAAAGATCAGCAACTGAGTGGGGAAGAACAACAGAAACCAGAGGGGAGGGGAGACAGCAGTCGGTGTGAGATATGAAAATAATAACAATCTATAATCTATCAAGGGGCCACGAGGAGAGGGTGAGGGAGGGAAAAGAGGAGTTGATCCCAAGGGCTCAATAGAAAGTAAATGTCCAGAAAAGAACGATGGCAATATATGTACAAATATGTCTGATACAATTGAGGTATGGATTGTAACAAGGGTTGTAAGAGCCCCCAATAAAATATCTTAAAACAAAAATCACTGAAAACTCTATGAAGCAGTTTTCCATGGGGTTGCCATGAATATCTGGCAACTGGTTTCATTTTTTGATTTATGCACATGTATATATTAGAAATACAGAAAGATTGAAAACCAAATATTTATTTCAACAAATTAGAAAAAGAACAATATAAATCCAAGCAAATTATAAAAAGCAGAAATTAATGAGAAAGAAAAGAAATACATAAGCATATCAGCAGAGCCAGAAGTTTATAGTTTACTCTGAAAATATTAATAAAATTGACCTCTAATGAGACTACAACACAAAAAGAGAGAAGGCACAAGTAATAACAGAAATGAAAAAGGATCTGTCACTACAGACTCTTGGACATTAAAATGGATAGTGAAAAATTTTATGAAAGGCTTTACATTAAAGATCTTGACATCTTAGATTAAATGGACCCAACACTAGGAAAATATAATTTATCAAAATTAATGTAAGTGGGGCGGGGGGGGGCCTGTAAAAATTGATAATTTTGAGAAAATTAGAAATGCGGACACCTGATATTTTACTTTGTTAAAGAATTATTATTATTTAGGCGCAACAATGGTATGTTGTTTCTGATTTGTTGTGGAATCAGCTTTGAGAGGTTAAAATGGAAACGTGTAGCTGAACTGAAAAAGGAATCGGTTCAAAACATCGCTGGCATTTGATGCTGTCGGACTGTGGCCATGGTAACAGTGGCTGGGTTGCCACGCAGGGTGGAACGCTCATACGTGGGGCAGTTCTCCGTGAAAGGCTGAGACTGCTCACTCTTCCTAAGGGGCGGTCGTCTTCGTCTGTTAGTTACGAGTTTTCTCGCGCGCGTGCGCTTGCGCTTCAGTGACTCGGCCTTTCCCGCCTCGGCTCTTAAGAACCAATCAGCGAGCTCGGCTCCAACCTGGAACCAATCAGCGAGCTCCGCTCTGCCTCCCTCTCCCCCGCTGGCGTGACCTTCCGTGAAGGCGGGCGCCATGTTCCGAGGGAGGCGGGGTTGGTTCTGTCGCAGCGTTAGCGCAGACCTGAGGGCGCTTTGGGGTAGGAGGCGGGGCTGAAGGGAGGGAGCGGGGGTGAGGGAGGCGCCATCGCCTGTTGGCCTGCAGATGCCTACACGGCTCATCATGTGCTCTTGCCTCCATAGTGGCCGAAGGGGGGACGATCAGTGGCCCGCACGCCGCCGACTTTTTATTCAGCTGTGACGCCTCTCACCCAGACACACTGAGGTACCTGAGAGCCACCTGGCAATGGCCCTTGTGTCACGATGAACCAAGAATGGGGGTGTGGGGAGTGGAACTTACAATCTATCAATGAATATTGGTAATTGGAAGAGATTGGAAACAAGGTACCAGTCCTAGATGGGGGGCGGGGGTGGGGTGGGGGACCTTGCTCCTAGGACCTAGGTTCTCTTCCCGAATGCCAGGAGGGTTTCCAGCCCGCTGGTCACCCCACATGGTACCTGGAAGGCTCCCAGACTTGGGATATTTGAAGTAAATCTCTCTATGACTCTTTGTACCCGCACTCAGTACCCGAATGATGTCGAATGCCCACTTAGGACCACCGGATTCATGCACCTGTCTAATTAATTACCTTTACACAACTCAACTCTGACCAGCATCCTGATTGTCCCTTTCTTTTGGTTAGCCACAGATGGAGTCCAGTCAAACTGAATTCAGTTCACTAGCTACTTATACCTTCCCTCCCTTTTTATTTTTCAGAGTTTAGGAAACTTAAAAAAATATTTAGGGAAGTTCAGATAACAATAGCAAATTATTTTTAAAAACCCAATAGCAAATCCTTGCGTTTCCTCAGTTTCTCTTCATTGTAAGATTTAGTAGATACTAGTAAATTGTTTTTAAAGACAAAAACCTAAATGTAAACCTAACAAAATCTTTGTCATCAAGCCTAACAAAATCGGTGTCTTTCGATCCCAGATTCATTCCCTCCCACAAGCACTGTTGCTGTGAATTGTTTCATTTAAAATACATATATCCTTTTATATGCATATATACATGGATACCCTTGAAGAGTAAATTGTGTTCTTGTGGGGTTTTTTTTTTTGTAATGAGCAAAAATTATATTGAACATGAGGGAGCTTTAAAAAGTTTGTGGAAACATTCCATTATTTTAAAATTCCATTTCCTATGGATTTTTTTAAGTTCTAGCAAAAAATTATATATACAATTTGATTTTTCTAATCAATGTGTTCAAGTGTCACTTATGTTGATACAAGTTACTCTGGTTCATTCTTTTTTTTTTAAAGATCATTTTATTGGAGGCTCTTACACCTCTTATAACAATTCATACATCAATTGTATCAAGCATATTTGTACATATGTTGCCATAATTTGGTTCATTCTGTTTGTTTTTTTTAATTCATTCTGTGTTAACTGGCTTTACATTATAGGAATATGATACTTTGGGCTCACTTCTCTGTTTGTAGGCATAGATTTACAATTTTTCTCTTTTATAAACAGTGCTGAAAAAAATCCTTACATATGGTCTTCATGTTCACAGGACAGTTATGTGGGCAGGGAACAGTGCTGAGTCTTAGAACATGTACATTTAAAAATTTAATAGATACTACTAACTTGTTTTCCAACATCTCAGTGTTATCAAGTCAATTCCAATGCCTGGTCACCCTATAGGACAGAGCAGAACATCTCCTGCAGGTTTTAGAGAGTATAGAAAGTCTCATCTTTCCTGGAGTGACTGGTGGTTTAGAGCTGCTGACCTTTAGGTTAGCAGCCCAACCAATAACACACTAAGCACTAGAACTCATCAAATTACACTCCCACAAGCAATGTATCAGTTCTATTTTCTTGAAACATTTACTAGTATTTGAAATATCAATCTTTTAGATTATTGCCTTCTGAAGGATGAAGTGTATTAGAGCTTAAATTCTGAGCACCCCGTTTGCAGAAGGTTATAGATAATAGTGAAAACCCAAAATTCATTGGTAGAGTCCCTACAAAGATGAAGCCCCCACTGAATGGCTTCTGATCATTAGTCAAGCATAATCTTGCCCTCAGGCAGAGTGCCTTGAGAAATAGATTACTTTCACGCTTCTCCAGCCAGCCCAGGTAGAGGCACTCACTGGATGGGCCTTGCCTGGATGTGTCCTTGGTGCCACTTAGGGTGTCATAGGCATGAGTCATGCCCTATCAGTGTTCTCTGACTGCCTTGGTTAGAAGACCCTGGCCAATCTTATAAGCTCTTCTATCTGCAATGTATTTCCCAATCATGATCCCAATTCCTGATTCTGCAGTCCCACCTGCCACTACAGTGTACTGATCAACCACCAATCATAAATTTGTAACAGTTTCCTTGATTCTATGCCTATTTAACTAGCTTCCTGACTGAATCCTTGGACACTGCTATCGCCTCGTGCTAATGGCCTCCCTCATCCTGATGATGTTTGTGTCTTTGTCCCTTTTAAGACTTAATAAATGTTCTCCTTAAGTTAGATTTGAGACTGGGTGTCTTGTGTCGCCTAAAGCAGAAGTGACACAGTATTAGGATAAGGTTTACATTATTACCCGAGGGTCCCCAAACCTTTCACTGTTTCATGAGTGTGCCTTCAGGCATACCTTAGCCTCTCCGTTTATTTCTCTTTTTTTTCTCTTCTTCAAGAACTAGGAAAAATGTTGCCTTCTGTGTGAAGGTTTCCTTGATTGCATCCCTTTCACCAAAGAATTAATTGATCTCTCTTTGTACCAATGACTATGGATAAAACTCATGGGCTTTTGATATCTAGAAGATAATGCTGTTTTTGTCACGGTTCTAAATTCATATGATCATTAACAAAGTCTCTAAAGTTGATGTTTGCCTAGACCTAGACCGAAAAACTAATAATACCGTTGCTGGTGGGGACCCACAGGGATAGGGTCAGGCAGGGGCTGGGAGTGGAGAGGGAACAGTGTAAATGTGTATACGTTGAGAACAGTCCTCCCTTAAGTGACTTGTTTTTGGTTTTTAAAGTGAATTGATAGGTTGAATACATTCAAGCTTATTTCTAAAACTAAAAGACTTTCTTTATTTCTCCTAGAATTTACCAGAGCCTTGATTACATAGAGGATAAAGCTACCGTTTTTCATGCCTACTATCTCTCTGTAGTAGCTCATGCTGACATGAAAACCTCAGTGCCTTTAGGCCATTTCATCCTTCCTCCTGCCTGCCTGCAAAAAGGTGAGCAAAGGTTAGTTAACCAGTCCTTGTTAGACGGTGTCGTCCAGCTTTGGTCTCAGTCACAGATTCATATCTCTTAAGTGGAAAAAGCAGAGACTTTGGATCAGATTGACTTGGGTTTATATCCTGACTTTTTGTTGTTATTATTGTTAAATTATTTATTCACATACTCATTGAACTCCTATTGTGTAACAAATCTTAATTTAGATGCAGACCTTGCCCTTACAGTGCTCACAGGTTAGGTGGGAGCCAAAACTTACTACTTTGAGACCATTAGCAAGTTATTAAACCTCTCTTGGGTTGTTTTGAGGATTAAGTGAAATAACATCTTAAGGTGTCTGAAGTGATGAGTATTTATGCTCAGTAAATGTGTTCTGTGCTAGTTTTAAATTTGTCATTATTTTTCTGAAATTCTTTCTTCCGGTATTTAAAAATGTGCTATGATAATAAGCTTATATATTTATACTGGCCTTTAAGCTCTTGAAAGTACTTTCATAGTACGTCAGCAACCCTGCTAAGTAGGAAGGACAAGTCAATACGGAACCTCTGCAATGTGTTCTTTCAATTTCCTTTGCTTGGAACACCCTTTCTTATCCGGCTATATTGTCCAAATTTTGCCTGTTTTTTATGGCCTAACTTTATAGACCATTATTTTTGCTTTACTTAATGTAGCTAGAAAGAGAGACTGGGGGATGGGAGATAAGGGAGGGTCAGGGGATTTCAGGAGCAAACAATGAGTGTGGGAGGAGGGAGTAAGTACTAGAACTGATTGAGATTGGGGGAAAAAAAGAAAATGTTCAAAAATTGATAGTGGTAATGATGGTACAGCTCTTGATATGATTGAACTATTGAGTTGTATGAGATATTGATTAAGTGCTTGTAAAAACTGTAAAAAAAAGAAAGCTGAGCCTAAGTTCTCAATAAACACTATAACAAATAAGACTTGAAAACATTTCCATAAAAGGGCCTTTACTTAAAGATTGAATTCAATCTATGGTTGATGTGCTGGTAAGGCAGAATTATGTAACTGTATTAAGTGCTTATGCAAATAAAGTAAAGACTAGATGGGAGAACTGATTTATTCAAACACATTTTTCACATATAACATGCCTACATAAATGACCTATACATATATGAAATAATCATAGCATGTAAGAAACTAATGTGCAAGGGGTAGCTATTTTGAAATATATGTATATACATACATATATCATAGAGGAGTTATTTGCATAAAAATATGGCAGTTCCTATCGTTAGGAAGCTTATATTATAGAATGTCTATCTGATATGATTTTGAATTATGGTCCCTATTTCTGCCATTGAGTTTACTATCTTACATTAAAATATATTTGAAAAAATTTTAAACATGATTTAAGTGGAAGCCTGGAAGCCTGCTTCTTAAAATTAAAGAAGTGGGTATCTTTTTAATCCATCTAGAGCAACATATTGTTTAGTAAAAGTGTAAGTCACAAATGCAAACCATCTGTAACTTTAAGTTTTCTAGTAGCCACATTAAAAGGGATGAATAGCTGAAATAAATTTCAAGTGTGATCTTTCAAGTGCTCGGTCTCCACATGCACCTATGGCAGCTCTGTTAGCATAAGCAGAGCGATGTTACATTTTTGTTTTCCAGTAGGCCACTGTGGATACCTTTGAGACCACTGACATAGAATGATGATATAGTTCTGTGCTTACTAGACATGTTACCCATTCTCCCACCTTTGAGGAAAATGTTTCAATTCTTGAAGACCTCTGCTCTGCCAGGTCAAGAATTTAATGCTTTTTACTTGGACCGTATAGTTGTTTTCCTTACTAATGCTTTGCCTAAAGACATTGACATCTAATAAAAATATGTATTCCAGCAGGAAAACTCTACACAGTAATTCTCATACTGCCTTAAAATTTTCTGAGGAGTTTGTTAGAAATCCAAATTGCTGACTGTCTCCTCAATGATCTAATTCAAATAAGAATCTGCATTTTAAATAAGTATCATAGGTGATTTTGATGCAAGCAAATAACAACAAACCTCGAAAAACACCAGCCTAGAAATTTCAGACTTTAAGGAAAATTCAGAAAATTCTTCTAAGTTGCCTTTAAAAAAAAATTATATTGGATTTGTTCTTATTATCACAGAAATAAGAAGAAAAATTGGTAAATTTATTTGGGAACAAGACCAACATTCCTCGGTAGAAAAGGTAAGAATGAATTGGCATACTTGATTAGAGTCCTCATTTTCTTTTCTTTTTTTCCAAATTAATTTTATTTATTTTTAAAATCATTTTATTGGGAGCTTGTACAGCTCTGATCACAATACATATATACATCCATTGTGTCAAGCACATTTTTACATTTATTGCCATCATCGTTTTAAAAGCTAAAAGCATTTTCTTTCTACTTGAGCCCTTGGTATCGGCTTCTCATTTTTTTCCTCTCCCCCTTTACCCCCCCCC